TTCACTGATAACATTTTTCTTTGTTTTTTCAGCCCAAGTGACCATAACTCTTTTCTCTCTTAATGCTGAGAAAATGGTGATCTTCAAGGAACACGAGCTCCGGATGCTGAGCAGGGAACTACCGTCACTGTTTACACCAGTTCTGCTATGAGGCTTGAACAACAGCCACAAGTAAACACAGCACCGCTGTCTGTGTTAGTACTGGTTAGTGTTAGTGTCAGTGTTTCTATAAACGCTGCCAGGTTTAATATTAACGTAATGTCTGTTTAGTATTGGTTGAGGCTGGTACCTTGCAGACTTTGTGTGGTATCTCAGGGAATCTGTCCTTGAGCTCAGAGAATGAAGCTTCCAGCAGCCACTGCAGAGAAGGAGCTCTCCTCAGCATGAGCTGGGCTACCATAGAGTTAATACACGGGAAACAAACCAAGCAGCTCTCCTCCTGAAAAACATTCACAGATAAAATTAACTCACCAACATCTGCACAAAGATACAACTACTAGCTATGCCATGCCTAGAGTTTGTTTTTATTTTGAGTAAGTGTGGCAGTTCTGAGGTCATCACTAGGCAAGACACACGTAAGTATATCAGCACAGCACAGTGTGAGAAAAGCACAGTATGTAAAGTTTATCCAGACTGAATGCTTTGGGATGTTGTTTAAAAGCAGTTTGATGAAATTAGTTAAAGTACAATTTAAACTTAATATTTACCCTGAAGTATTACTGTCACTACACGGTAATCAAGAGGGAAAGTTCCCAGGATGTCTTTGGCTCAGACCAAAATTTGACACCTGATTAAAACTCCAACTGACGTTACCTCTGTCTGCAGCACACTGAACCAGTCTCGGTCGAGCCAGCTCCACACACTCCTCTCTGAGCTCAGCAGAGTGTGTAGGCAGATCTGATACACATACCAGGCTATGTCTGCTACATCACACACAAGAAAAACCTGAGAATAAATACACACACAACAGCAGTTACAATAACACTCTCTAATATCGTCATTATCACATGCTGTAATTATATTAGCCCATAATCACTCTATGCACACACAACAGAACTGCACCAACATAAAACCTAATGATCAAATCAAACCACTAACACCTGGTTGTAGCTAGACAGACTCACCTTTATATCCAGGTCCTCTGACTTGAGTCCAAACAGAACGAAGGACGAGTAGATCAGCACCAGGTTACTGAACACATCGCCATACACACTGGGGGCAGGGAAAACGGTCAATAACGCAGATTTTTGCTTTCATTTTTTTAATCAAATTACAAATGCAAACATGCAAGACGACAGAAAGAAAAGCTCTGTAACGACTGCTTTCTATAAATAGCAGTGTCAACAAAAAAAGATCCAGTTCTGTTTGCCTTTCTAAGATAAAACCCACAAACTGTGCAAAATATCTCCTGTACCGGTCAAACTCAACTCTCAGAAAGAGGAGAGGATAAAGTTTTTCCATCGCTTTGTCACGTTCTCTCACTTCAGCAACACACTGAATCACCTCGCACCTACCAAAAAGCAATGCAACTGGCTACAATTAACTTGATGCACAACTGGATTAGACCATTTTCCTGTGCCCAGGTAGTTTTTACATAAGATACTTTAACATTTTTCAATAATCGATAATTCAGTGTTCGATAAACAAATACAGGACACACAGCAATGTACGACATTAGATTAGTATTTCAGGCTGTTTTGAAATGTGAGCTCTGTCTGTTTAATGATTATTAGACAGTGGACGGCTCACCTTGGTGTACAGGTAAAAGAAGAAAGCAGAACAAAACAGTTCAGTCAAAACAGTTCAGTCAAAACAGTTCATGTCAAGTTTGTAAGATATTTATTTGACATTGAGTAACAACATTCAGGCAGCAGAGGTTCATTAACTTTATTAATGTTCATGTAATTTTAATGATTAATTTTAATAAATAATTAAAATTATATTCATTTACTGTATTAACACCAACTTATTAACTTCATTAATCCATTTCTTCAGTAATCTATATCTCAGTGTGCTGTTGGTCAGTATATTGATCAGTGATCAGTAATCTATATCTCAATGTGCTCTTGGTCAGTATATTGATCAGTCATCAGTAATCTATATCTCAATGTGCTGTTGGTCGGTATATTGATCAGTGATCAGTAATCTATAACTCAATGTGCTGTTGGTCGGTATATTGATCAGTGATCAGTAATCTATATCTCAGTGTGCTGTTGGTCGGTATATTGATCAGTGATCAGTAATCTATATCTCAATGTGCTCTTGGTCAGTATATTGATCAGTCATCAGTAATCTATATCTCAATGTGCTGTTGGTCAGTATATTGATCAGTGATCAGTAATCTATAACTCAATGTGCTGTTGGTCTAGTATATCGATCAGAAGTCTACAATTCACAGTGAGCTGTTGGTAAGTTACCAGTAATAACTCACAGTTTGCTGTGCTGTTCGGTGCAGTGCAGTATTATCCAGCAGCGGCTGAACTGCAGAGTAAGAGCTGAGAGTCTAATCACCACAGACTTTGACGCTTTCTCCAGCTGCAGCTCCTCCAGGTCCTCAACACGAACCATATTTACAAAATATAAACTCTAAAGAAATTTGTCATTACTATCAATTTGCATTTTGCACACACACTTATACTGCGGTTCACAAGTATTTCTTTTTATCTAACCTGCAGAAGAACGGCTGTTTTTTCATCCACAATAATGACATCATACCGGTCAGTTGATCCCAGCCTCTGCATAGACTGACTGTAGCTTCTCTGCAGCAGAGTCATATTATACCTGCAGCACAGTTTCACAAAACATTGTATCAGATGTTTTTTTATTCTGTCTTGCTGAAAATCAGAGCAGGGAAAAAGCTACTACAATGGGAACTTACTATAATAAAGTGTAATAAAAGTGTAAAAAAATAAAACAAGGGGCTTATTTGTAAGTGTTAAGGCAGCGGTCATCATGAAAAAAGACTGACGTTGACTCCAGCAGCTGCAGCAAGTCTGAGTGCTTCAGCAAACCCTCTGTGACTAACACCAGAAAAGGCACACTGTCCAGATAGGCCTGGGGGGAGACTGCTGGATCTAAACGAATACACACATATTTTAACTGTCATGTTTTAAATTAGGTGGGACATTTATTTATGGAGCATTTCTCATTTACAGGCTTTTGTGAAAATCACTGTCTATGATCAAAACTAGGGATTTAAGTCACATGTGTCAGGCTCCAGTTTTCCTGGGCCAAAACACTGCAGACTTCAGCACGTTGTCTCATTAAACACACCTGATTCAGCTCATCAGCTATTTAGCAAGGCTTTCATGAACTGAATTCAGAGTGTTAGACGAAGGTAAACGCTAATTTCCACAGCACTTTGGCCCAGAAGGTCCCCAGATTGACAGGCCTGATTTAGGTACAGCTTGTCAGAGTAAAGTGGGTGGTGAGGGGTGCATACATCACATATACAGTTATGTTCCTTGGAATGCATTATATACACACATTTCAACTTTAAGAACACAAGTTAAAACGCTGATTCCCATGATCAGAAAAATGAGAAATGTCAGATCCAGTTATCGCCCCTGGATGTAGACGCTATCTGTCGGCATGCTTGTGTGAGACCTGTATCCGGTGTTGCTGTACAGAAGCGGATGTAGTTGACGTTGTTCTGTGAGCAGAAGCTGCTGACGGTGGAGTGACACAAAGAGTCAAACTCCAACACCACACTGAACCTCTGCCAGGGGAAATCAGCTCCAATCTGCTGACTGCACACTATAACACTCCGACTGCAGGAGAGACTTAAATACACACAGTTAAGTGGTTACGCCACTGCTGCAGACTGCATTCCTGTACAGCTGATCTACTTCCAAACAAAGACACACACCTGTCTATAACTGTTATGCTGTCCACTTTGTTCCTGCCCTCATCTGGTAGAACAGCGAAAACACAGCTTCCTACAAGGTCAGCACAAACACACATATTCACATCAGTCCTGGTCCACCCAGGGATTATTTCACAAAACAGGAATTTCCAGTCATCCAGATCAAAGTCAAGCCTGTGCAAGCCTGAGAAGAGCTAATGGGCATCATTCTTACTGGACAGTCCTCAACTTGGGCTGGGATTATCCTGCTGTGTGAAATATCCCCCCACTCTGTAGTAAAACAAGATGATATTAGAGAACATTGGCTCACCTGGTACCTGACTGAGAGCTGTCACTAGCTCTGACCTCACACGCCCCGTAGCTGTTACCACCAGAACCTGCTTACACAGATATCCACCCTTAACAACGCTCACTCTGGGCATGCAAGCAGGCTTCTACTCTAGCTTCACATCCTCACCGGATGGCCAAGTTATAATAACAAAGTCTCTGTATTCAAGTACTTTGTCGCTAGCTGGCTAATCGTGGGACATATTCGTGAAGTTTCTCAGAGTAGCAGTGCTGATCTAGCATCTGTTCCTGTTATCATAAATTAGAGAGGACTCTGATCTTAGATCACCACTCCTACTCTGAGAAGCTTTGAGAACATGGACGCTGATGTTTTTTTGGTATCTTCCTAACATTTTCTTTCCTTGCAAAAATGTACTTACTGTGCTTAATGGTAACAGAATATTTGTGCCCCAATCGGTGATCAAAATTATTAAAAATAATGGTTTCGAATTTTTGGACATTGTGCAACACTTCACGTCTGGTGTAGTGGTTGATATAGTGAAGCGGGTAACACCTTTGCACCCTCTATGCTATAGACTGGGCTTTCATTGCCTACACAAGCAAACACCCTACAATATACTAATAAGAGTCCTTGAACAAGACACCCAACAACAGCTTTGCCTATCTGTGTAAAACGATCAAACTGTAAGTCGCTCTGGATAAAAGCGTCTGCCAAAAGCTGTAAATGCATTTAGAAAAACATAAAATTATTTACTAACGACCACTGACGATATCCTTTCCTCGGCTGAGCAGAAGTCATATACAACTGAGAAACTCTAAAATCAAATCTATGGACTATTAGGTACAACTATTAAGTCTTGTTTACACTTTTCATTCATTTTGTCTCGATTTCGTGTCCAGATAAGACGTATTCACATTTCATGTACACGTCCACATCTCTACCAGAAATTCTTGAATATGTTAATAATTAAGAGCCCTGTGTGAGTACAGACTCTGACCGTGTTGGAGGTGTTTCTCTGCAAATAAGTGTTCGTCTGCTCCCGCAGGTGCAGCACTCTGGGCCTGGGCTCCTGCTCCTCCTTCCTGTAGGTCATGTACTGCAGCACCTGGAGCCTCCTCAGCAACTCTTTCAGACCTCCCATCGAACAGGTGGACTGCGCCTCCTCCAGGTAATCTCACACACAGGCGCACAGACATAAACACTAAGACTCTCACAGCAATTCTGACACAGACTGTGTAACTGAAATACATCATTGGAAAATGTGGTCCGACGGATCAACATTTGAAATTCTTTTTGGAAATCATGGACACCGTGTCCTCCGGGCTGAAGACCACTCAGCTTGTTATCAGTTAATGCTGAATGACATATACATGTTTTGGCAACATATGCTGCCATTCAAATGACATCTTTTTCAGGAAAGACCTTACTAACAGCAAGGCTCCGTATTAAAAGAGTCCGGGTGCTAAACTGACCTGCCTGCAGTCCAGATGATGAAGCAGACCCTGAACTGCTGAGCAGCTGTAATCCGATATCAAACATGATATCAAAACTACAGCAGAGTCTCCTCAGTTCCTAAACGCTTACAGAGTGTTGTTAAAGAAGAGGTGATGAAACACAGTGGTAAACAGGCCCCCGTCCCAACTTTTTTGGAACGTGTTGTTGGTATCAAATTCAAAATGGGCACATTTTAAAAAAAAACAATTAAATTTCTCAGTTTCAACATTTGATATGTTGTCTTTGTGGTATTTTCCTTTAAAAATATGGTTTACATGATTTGCATATCACCACATTATATTATTATTTACATTCTGCACAGCGTCCCAACTTTTTTGGAAATGGGGTTGTAATAACACAGAGCTTGTGAACTGCCTGGCACTCTACGCTAAGTGTCAAAGCCTCAAGTCAGAAAAAGTGGATAAAAGTGGACACATTTAAAAGATCACACTGTTTGGAGAGCGTAATATTTAGAGGAAAAGCATGTTTTGAGGAGGTGTTTGGGGACAGAAGAGTGTTTGATAAGTCAGTGTTTTACCGATCGCAGTGTTGAGGTCACACCTGAGCAGCAATTCCTTCACCCTCACCAGAATATGAAGCAGAGCCATATCATTATATACACACTCCCTGCCTAGAGCACAAACACAAACACAGTAATTCTACCAGGTGGGTGTACACACATGCATTAACACAAACCTAGCACAAACACTTTATTTTGAATGTGGCCCGTATACACTGTCTTTAAATGCTCAAACTGTGAATGAAGTATCTAATGACAACTGATTATTAACACCATCAGGATTAATATTATGATTAGGTTCCAAGTTCAGGTGGGAGTTAAAGTGAACGTTAGACAGCAGCTCTACTAACATTCTCTAAATGGGTGCAGCAACTTATTATCACCCATAGTGAGATCAAAAAGGCAGGCACTGCTATTTTGC